CACCAATTCAGTATGATTATGACTGATCATCCAATACGGTAGTCTGATTCCACTTTCTCTCCATAAACCGTAAGAACTATACCTAACTACCTCTTGAACACATTAAACATCTTGGGCTCAACTGTTTTCTGTGACAGAGAATCCCACAGGTTCACCATTTGCTAGGTAAAGAAATCTCTCCTCATCTCAGTCCCAAATGGCCCACCCCATATCTTCACACTGTTTTGGATTCCTGAGTCATCTGGTACATTGTGCTCTGTCTAGTCCTGTTAAAATTTTATAGGTTTCTGCGAGATACTCCTTATTTTTCTAAACTTCAGTGAGTCTGGTCCTAACCCATGCAGTGTCTCTCCACATGCCACCACAGGAATTGGTCTGGTGACAACGTAAAGTCTTTGGGATGCTCCAATCTAGAGAGGGCAAAGGCATGAACAAGGGGCAGTCTGTAGCCGATAGCTGAGGCAGAGTGGAGATGGATGCTGTAGTTACTGCAGGTGGAGGTGGATGCTGTAAATAATGACATGACACACAGTTGGAAACTCATCTCGTGTTTAAAAAAGGCTCCGAGGTTGCAAGGAGTCTTAGACACCTTAGACGGTTGCCAGGAAGAGAGATGAAGTTGGTGGCGTGGCACAGAGACAGACAATAACATCAATCTGTTATTTGGATGAAATCTTGGCAGATCCCGTGTTCCGTGTTGGTGAAATAATCTGACACATTGCAGACAAACATCCACAAGATAATCACAAGGTCAAGGTCTGGAGTTGGGCCCTGGACTTGCCAGAGTGGGTGCGAGGATAAAAAAGTAAGAAGTACGAAGGAAAGGGAAAAAGGCCTGGTAGCTTAGTTGTAATCCCCAGAGTGGTACAGTGATAATGCCCTTACCTCTGATCCAAAAGGTCTGGGTTTAAGAACCACTTGCCCCAAGTGTGTGTCATAACAAGTTAGTCGAAAAGATTATAATTTGCAGAGTTTCAAAACCTCACAAGAAGATTGAGCATTTATTGCAAGAGAAATGCATAATAGTTATCCTTTGAAAGTTGCATTTACAATAAAAAGAAGTCTGTGTTACTGTGACACAATAAATCTTGCAGCAAGTGAGCCATTTTGTTTTAGCAGCTCGTCTGTTTAGGCGGGTGTCAGTTTGCAGACATTATGTTTCTCAATGAACGTCAATCCAGTTTGCTGCTGGCAGCCCAGAGACAGAGAAAAAATTACAAGAGAAAATGAATAATTTATTGCCATTTCAGCTTGAGAGCACTGCGTGTATCTGAGCTGGTTTTACAGAATCCATGTGCTGTGGAGAGGGAAAGCTGTGGTGGGGGGTCCAGAGAGTTAAATTCTCCTATCGGGGATGTTATATTGTTGGTGTTTAAGATTCCGATTCCACGTTCAACAGTAGCCAGTTCACATTTCTCTCAATATTTTTACAGTGTTTTGGAAGGAACCTGAAAAAAAAAGGTTTTCTTTTAAACCGAGAAATTGGGCGGGTGTTTGTCAGGTCCAGCATTGTCCTTGTCACTGAGCTCCAAGTCCCATTTTAATTGTTATTCAAAATCAAGCTACTCAAAGCAGCCTGCATCGCGTGTGAGTCTGTTCACAACAGCTCTCTGCTGGTGTTCATTTCTCTCTCAAAATGGCCGGTTTACATTGTACAGAGCAGTCTGGGGGCCCTGTCAGCTGTTGAGGCTGCAGTGTGTCATGTTTTGACATGGTTGCCTGTTGTCTCAATGTGCATTTTGTTCATCTCAGTAGCACTCCCAGTTCTGCCCTTGATATAGGAGGCAGCAATGAGCATCTGCAGTGCAGTGATAGTATCAGGTGGGTAAAAAAAACAAGCACTGCTTGTAGTCGACATGTTCATAGTGATCCATCTGATGTGATCAAATGTTTATTTGTAAATTCCTCCCCGGTGTTGGGTTTAAAGGCTGGCCAGGACTGCCACCTTGTGGATATCCAGTGTCTCAGCAGGTCTTTGACATTCTGTCAGAGATGCTGAGGGTATTCAATGTAGCTTCACAGAGTTAAGTATCAAATGTTGTTACAATCAAGAGCTTCGTCTGAGCATTTTGGAATAATGTTGCAAAAGCAGCCCTGATCTTAGGCTGTTACAGTTTTGATACAGAAGAACTAATAAAGGCAACTTTTGAAATAGGAAACCTGATAAAAACATCACTTTGTTGCATCATCCTTCACAAAACCCTCACCCCTCCTCCATTTTCTGCCACTTTGCCCCTTGTTGGCAATGCATGAGAACTGCTGCGCAGGATTTTAGAAGTTATTCAGCATCTTGCTGCTACAGAGGATTCTGAGATGAATGCAGGAATTACGTAGAATGTATGCAGCACAGAAACAGGCTATTCAGCCAGCTGATTCCTTGCCCATGTTTTATACCTCCCATGAGCTTTCCTGCCATCCTTCATCATCTGAACTCATTGACATAATGTTCTGTTCCTTTCTCCACTATGTGTTTATGTAATATCCCTTAAATATATCGATGGTGTGCACCTTAGCTTCTGTTTGGAATATGGAACTTTGCTACCACAACCAATCTCTCAGTGAAGAAAGGTTCTGCTGAATTGCTTGTTGAACTTATTAATGACTGTCTCAGATTTAGTTTTAGTCTCTCTGTATATATAAACACAGACATTTTCCCTAAGTCTCCCCAGCTGAATGGTTTCATAGCTTAAAGGACCGTTATGGGGTCACTTCCTCAGTTTTCTGTTATACAGAAAATATCCCCAGCCTGTTCAATCTTTCCTACTAATTACAACCTGTCAGTCATCGTAATGCCTTAGCGAAATCTTTGGCACATCTTCACAGACACCAAAAAGTTCATGGGTCAGCAGGACCATTTTGTCGTACAATGTGGCAGTATAATTTGGGGCAGTGGGCTGTAAAAGGCTGATTCCACCACACATCTTGTGAGCAGGAGTTGAAGCTGAAACGCTGTGTCGCACTGGCGCAGGGATTCATGAGGTCACCTACCGTGCCCGCAGAATCGACACTCCCAATGTGCGCACTTTAGGCGCCCGCTGTTCTGGGAGATGTTCCCCAGAGATGTGATGAAGCCCAGACAACACAGACTCTGTTGTTTAACCAAAATAAGCACTAACCGCTTTACTGTGCACTCTGGTATGTCCCTGTATGCCCTGTATCTTCTGATTCCAATCATTTCAAAATAATCAGACTTCGGACTGAAAATGCTGGAGCTCCATCGAATGTATTTCATGCATTTTTTGCATGTGGCTGCTCGACTGTAGACTGATACATTGTTAATTGGCACGTGACTGCAGTGCAGCAGTAAAATGGCTAACGCTGGAAATACATTCTTATAATTGTTAATTCCTACTTCTTTATAAATAATATCCCAAGAGTAGCTGTAGGAAGGATGTGGGATCATTCCTGTAACTACCTATGCACCAAATATACCTGAGGAGGGGGCATTTGTTGTTATAAAAGGATGATTCTCCATCTGAACCTGCTGTAAAGAAACAAGAATTTTAGTTAGATGCTGTGTCTGTCATTCTTCTTATTAGCCACTTGTGTTGAATGTGCTAGAATTTGTAAAAACCCAGACTAGGACAGAGCAAAACCACTCAAGCTAAAAATAAACCCTTCAGCTTCATGTCAGAAATTTTCAGTAAGCTTAGCAGGATTATTGGAAATGAGCCCCAGATGAGTGTGAATGGTCACAATCACACTACAAGCACAACAGTAATAACTCGTGAATATAAAGTGCAGATTGATGAGGAAAGTTAAATTCAGTGGAGATAATGGATACCGTGCACTGCAGAAGCCAATACACCCAATAAAGAGGCCTCCATTTTGTCTGTTTCATTAATGCTTTGGTTTAGAAGGGAGGGTCTCTTTCTGTATTTGTGTGTGTGTGTGTGTGTGTGTGTGTGCACACTCGCGCGCCCGCCCAACCATGTGTGTATGGGAGCGCGTGCCCATCTGTCCGTTTGTCCGTGCGCATGCCTCGCTCTCTGTGTGATTGCGCGTGCACCCCTCCCTGCGTGTGTGAGCGTGTGCGAGCCTCTGCTTGTGTGGGTGTGTGTGAGTGCGCGTCCCTGTGTGTGCATGTGTGCACACGCGCCCAACCGTCCGTGTCCGTGTGCGTGTGCGTGCATGCACCTCCACGTGTGTGTGTGTGCGCACGCACGCACGTGTATATATGTGCATCCCTGTGTGTGTGTGCATGTGAGCGCATGTCCCCGTGTGTTTGTGCAGCACGTCCCTCTGTGTGTGCTTGCGTGCAAGTCCCTGTGTGTGCATACGCCCCTGTATGTGTGATTGTGTATGTGTGGGTGAATGTTCGTGTGTGTGTGTGTCTCCGTGCGTGTGAATGTTCTTTTGTGAGCGCACGCACACTCCTGTGTGTGTGTGTGTGTGCGCGTGAGCATGTACATCCCTGTGTGTGCGCGCGCACGTGTCCCTCTGTGTGTGTGTGTGTGTGTGTGTGTGCGCGCGCGCGTGCGTGCGCGCGCATGTACATCCCTGTGTGTGTGCGCACGTGTCCCCCGTGTGTGTGTGTGCGCGCGCACGTGTCCCCCGTGTGTGTGTGTGCGCGCACGTGTCCCCCG